AAGCTCAGGGCTCTAGTATTATCTTCTGTATATGTGTCAATTGGTTTCTCTTTTCTTTGTTGAAAAGGGTCTGTGTAGTTTGTCTGTCTATTTTACCATCTTTGGTTGTTGGTATGTCTGGCCTCATAGGGATAAGCCCTGGGCTGCTGGTGGTGATCTTCTCTTCCCCTCATGAAATTAGAGGAGGCCCAAAGATGCTGCCCCCATGTCATTTTTGCATATGGCTTGGGTAAGGCGCACCTTAGCCTTCATAGTAACATCTTTCATTGCTCTTTAACACTTTCAAGAAGTCTTTGCAGTAGATTTGCCCAATGTAGTATGTCAGATGATTTCTTGCCTGCTGGTTCCATGGGCATTGATTGTGGATTGAAGGAAAAGGAAATCCCTGACAACTTTAATCTTATCTTCATTTATGATGTTGCTTACTGGTCCAGTTGTGAAGATTTCTGTTTTCCTTATATTTCTTTATATATATGGTGTAGTCCAGAGTGAAGGCTATGGTCTTTGATCTTCATCAGTAAAGTACTCTGAGCATATTGAAGATTGTCCAATCCTGATGCTACGTTCTGGTATGTACATATATATATATTTGGCAGAATTAAATTACCTCTTGTTGAGGGGGAAAGGTCTATAAGACCAAGGAACACGTTGTTGTTGTTGTTGTTATTTGCCATTGAGTCGGCCCCGACTCATAGCGACCCCTCCTTGGGTTTCCGAGGCAATATCACTACGGAAGTAGGAATGCCCAACCTTTCTTCCGAGGAGTGGCTGGTGGGTTTGAACTTAGGAGCTCTGGTAGCATAGTGCCTAAGGCACTTGACTGCTAAGGAACACGTAGGGGGTGCCAAAGATTCTGATTCTAATGCTGGGTACATTTGTGTTTATTATCCTTTATGCTGTGCATGTCTAAAATTAAATAATATAATTAACTCTAGTGTAAATTGAACTAGAACTGAATTTAGTAATAAGTGAAAATATTGAGAGTAAAATTTACTCTGATGGATATAGCACACCATATCAGTCAGATAAGCTCATAAATGTAAACCGGAAGAAGTATACTTATTTATCTATTTTATTTGTATTTTTCAATTGTGATGTGAGTTAAAGTTTACAGAGAAAATTTGTTTTCCATATATGTTTTATTTCATTACACTGAATGCAGTCATCACAATGTACCAACACTTCCCATTTCTTCCCTGTGGTTACCATTTCTATTTTGTCCTTCTTTCTTATACATCCCCATCTTCTGAACTTTACTTTGATCAGAAAGTAGGTTCCAGTAACTTCTTGAATGACTGAAGTCATCTTTTCACCTTAAAAATGCAAATTTGCTAATTGGACAAATAAGTGCCCCTAAGTTCTCTTGAGGGAGCTCTGGTAGCATAGTGCCTAAGGCACTTGACTGCTAACTAGAAGCTGGCGGTTCAAACCCACCAGCCACTCCTCGGAAGGCAGACTGGGCAATCTACTTCTGTAGTGATACTGCCTTGGCAACCCAAGGAGGAGTCATTATGAGTCGGGGCCGACTCGACGGCATATAACAACAACAACAACAAGTTCTCCTGATGTTTGAATGATGAGTTTAAAAAGTCACTTCCGTACGATATTAGTCATGTACTTCCCAACAGAATGAAAAGAACATTCCCAACAGAATATAAAGAACATTTCATTAACTATAGTTGAAACTGAGTATGCTATCGCTCACCACAGTTTTCTACAAATGTTACAGAAATGGCAGAGGTAAAGTAAATATCAGAGAAATGGCATCTGTATCCCAAAGCATCTTTCCCAGATACAAATATACAGTACAGAGGTACAATAATTCTTCATCTTTAAGCCAACTAATAAATTGTACTCCTACTTGCTATATTCACCATGCCTACTTATAAGTTTAGTTTAATGTTAAGATCAAATGAAATGCATAGTACTTGTAAAAATACTTTGAAAAAAAAATAGATCACTACAAATAACTATGGTGAGATTATTTTTAAAGATCTGTATATTAAATCATTCTCTGTATATTCATTGAAAGAGGCACTCGTAAGTCCATTTTTCAGAAAAGAGATTAAGAACGAATTATTTCAGTGTTAGAGGTGACTTTCTAGTATGTCTGGCAATAAATTCACTGTTTTGACCAGTAAAACATAAAGGATTTCATAAAGAAAATGTCAATATGTGTGTGTGTATGACATTCTCTTGACAGGTAATTTCCTCAATCAAATTCTAACTTCTAAGTCTTCTTTAAAAATGTATTCAATAGGCCAATTATTTAATGATCATATAATTAGTAAACACTTTTTTTTTATTGTGAAACCTGATTATAGACCAATTTTTTAGTTGCTGTGAATAGAGAAGATACAGGAAAGATAATTTCATAACATTTTAAATACTTGATTACATTGGCCTTACCTATTACTAAATAGGAAATATATTAAAAATTTAATGGATAATGAAATGGATTCCGTCCACAAAATAACAACTAAAATAGAAGAACCTATTTTAAATTGAAGTGAAAATGCTATTATTATATCAATATACTACTATGCAAAAAGGAAGAGGAGCTTAGAAAATATTTAGAGGATAGTAGCTAACTTAAATTTTAAGAAAAAAGCTTACTTGATGAATATAGTTTCATACTCTGAAAACAACGAATGATCTACTAAAAAAGTCACTGTAAGAGCAAAAAAACTAAGTTCATACAGTATGTGAGTTTCCTTTGCTATAAAGCTGCCATTTTATTTTTCTACAAAATAAATAATTTGCTTAGGCTACAAGGAGGACCAAAGATTGTAATTTTGATTAAATGTCAAACAATTTATATTTCTCAGAATGAAAGTCTAGAGGATTTTCATACTTTGAAGCAAATTTTTCAGGTTAAAAATAACAGTATGTCCTAGAAAAATTGAAAAGAAGTGAAAGAACAATGTCTGCTAGGTCAAGCCCTTGGCTACATACTTTTCTCCTTATCCAGAGAATGGTTGCTTATTACATCTTGGATATTCAGACATGTATACTGTTGCTGTTAGATGCTGTTGAGTTGGTTCTGACTCGTAGCGACCCTAAGCACAACAGTACAAAACCCTGCCTGGTGCTGCACCATCTTCACAATCACTGTTTTGCTTGAGCCCACTGTTGCATCCATTGTTCTCAACTTCTCTCTTTAAGGTCCTCCTCTTTTTCACTGACCTTCCACTTCACTAAGCATGATATCCTTCTCCAGGGCTCCTGATAGTATATAAAAAGGACATAAGAGAAATTCTTGCCATCCACACTACTAAAGAGAATTCCAGCTGTACTTCTTCTCAGACAGATTTGTTCATTCTTCCGGCAGTCCGTGGTATATTCAATATTCTTAGCCAACACCATAATTCAAATGCATCAATTCTTCTCTTGTCTTTCTTATTCATTGTTCAGCTTTCAAGTGCATATGAAGCTATTGAAAAGAAAAAGGCTTGGGTCAGGCACACCTTAGTCTTCAAAGTGGTATCTTTGCTCTGTAACACTTTAAAGAGGTCTTTTGTAGCAGATTTGTCATATGAAAAACATCCTCTGATTTCGCAACTGCTGCTCCACGGATCCAATAAAGTGAAATCCTTGACTACATCAGTCCTTTCTCCATTTATCATGATGTTGCTTATTGGTCCAGTTGCTAGGATTTTTGTTTTCTTTATGTTGAGGTATAATCCATCAGTAAGTGCTTCAAGTCCTCTTCATTTTCAGCAAGCCAAGTTCTGTTATCTGCATATCACAGGTTGTTAATGACTCTTCCTCCAATTCTGATGCCATGTTCTTCTTCATATAATTCAGCTTTTTGGATTATTAGCTCAGCATACAGATTTAATAAGTATGATGAAAGGATACAACCCGACACATACCTTTCCTGATTTCAAACCATGCAGTACCCCTTTGTTCTGTTCGAATGACTGCTTTTTGGTCTATGTACAGGTTCCTCATAAGTACAATTAAATGGTCTGGAATTCCCATTGTTCATAATGTTTTCCATATTTTTTTATGATACACAGTCAAATGCCTTTGCATAGTCAATAAAAACACAAGTAAACATCTTTCTGGTATTGTTTGCTCTCAGCCAAGATCTACCTGACATCAGCAATGATATTCCTCATTCTATGTCCTCTTCTGAATCTGGCTCGAATTTCTGACAGTTCTCTGTTTATGTACTGCTGCAACCATTTATGAATCAAGGTAATTAAAGAACAATAATTATTTATTTTTAGATATGTAATAGACATGTTTTCAAATCTCAACCACTCTACTTTTAAAAATGTTAGTTGATTATAAACCTTGCCATTAGCCAGAAGTGACAGGAATGCAGAGGATGCAAACCTCCAGCACTGTATCCATTTCACGTTGAAAAAAAAGACATAGCACCTTATCCCTTGTAACCTCCCTGGCAATCTGGCAAGAACAGTTTTAAGATATCTTTCTATCTTCACTTTTTTAATTATCTTAAGTTTCTATGATATACAGAAACCATTCAATGTTTTACTCTTTCCAGCACTATTTCTTAGTGCCTTAGTACTTTGCTTACATCGTTATATTTAGTAAGCATCTCGATATTTCCTCTTTAACATCTACTTTCTCTTTACTTTTTTTTTTAAATTAGAATAATGAAATATTACTTCATTGCATTTATTGCTATTATAAGTGAAGCCTAATATACTTTGTCATAATTAATTCCATGTTTTCTTTGATTCTAGATTGTAGAACATTGTATTTGTCTCATTCCCAAAGAGGAGGGAACTCATTAATTTGAATGTCAATTTAATTACAAAAGGTTTTATATCAATTTAATACTAGTAGACCCACATGAACTGTCCAACTCAAAGATGAACTGAATAATCTAAACCCAAACTGCCCTTCATTTAATTGCAAACAATTCTTCACAAAACTAATGGCTCCTCTGCTTTATCTTCTCAAAGACTGAGAACATTTTCTTGCTGTTGTTTTATGGTAGAAAAGTAGAAATTTTAAATATTTACCATTTCCAATTTCTCTGCGTTAAGGCGAACAGAGGGATTTAAGGAAATCTTTTTTCCTTGGGGTCCATAATTATCCATCCAGGCAGGCACAATATCTAAGAGACAACAGGTGTACATTAATTGGGTATTTAATTGGAATAGAACTTTTCATTTGACAGGATGTGTTCTGGGCTCCTGCTGTTCAAAAATAATTCTGGCTAATCAGTTGGCAGTTTTCACTATTATTTTTCTTTAAATCTAAAATGTATCATATAAACCAGTTTCACTTGAGCCCTAAAGACATTATAAAAAGAATGGCCAATTATGCATTGCTAAATTGTATGGAAATACTAACTTAAAAGGTAAACATCCATCCCACCAGTACCACCATCATCCCAATGCCTTATCTTAATTATAACATAAAGTTTCTTTTCAAATAGTGTAAAATCTTATGAAAAATTTTAAAAGATTATAATATTTCTTTAACTGGCAAAAGTGGTTTAGTTATAGGAATTCTAGAAGTACTGTGGAAAAATCCATAAATGCAAATCAGTTCAAGTTTGTACACAAAGTATGATTTACATTCAGAACTTTTTGAGCTGAAAACTCTATTTTTTATTTTACAGAAGGGTTTTAATTCCAGTATCATAAATGGACTCTCGAGAGGTTCACACACCTCTCACCTATTCCCCACAACCTTCTCAACATATCTTGATTATTTCTTTGTCCTTGCCGAATGCATAAGAAACCAAGTGTCCCAAGGGGCTGGAACTGGAAACATTATTTATTTTATTACATCAAAGTTTGTAAACCAAATCCCTGTAATTTCCATCAATCCTTACTATCTAAATTGTCACTATTCTAAATAAGCTTTAAAATGCTATTTTACTAGTTCTACATAGAAACAAGAGGAAGAGAAAAAACTTTTTAAAATGTCACATCTTTATGCAGTGTTTTAATTTTTAAAAATTTCTCAGAGCATCTGTCTCTAAGTACAAAATGATTTGCATTTACTTTCTTGAGAACATAAGAAGCTTATATGAAAATTAGTCTTCCTCTAAACCTTTAACACATCTTTAACATTCTATGTAAAATCTTGAAGATAGCTTATAGTTGTCAAGATCATTAAAAAAAAAAGTTGATTGCTGACTTTTAGTTTCAAATGGAATCAAATCTGACTTGATACGAGAAGTCTGATTTTTACTATAATAGAATTTTTAGAATTCTGATAAAAGCAACAAAATTTCCTTTGTTATCGTGATACCTAGTTGTTGGCCATGGAAATAAAATACTCTTAAGAAAAATTCTGTGTCAAACCATAACTATAGCATAAGAGGTCTGCATGGAGTGATGTGTTAAGAAGTCCAAACATAAGGTAAGTCACACTTTACTTTTCATTTTTAAGATTTAGTTTTGTGAAGCTAGTACTTCACAATGACTTCTAGCTTCATGCTTGACCTGCGATTAAGACACACTAACACTAGGTTGGCCCAAGCTGACCTTGATATGGTCTCACATTAGGTCTACTCCAGGTCATGAACTATGCAGTTTCAGCATAAGAATGTGGATGTGTGGGGAAGGGGATGAGAGCAAAGGGGAGAGAGATGAAAGGAGGAGAGGACACAGGTACAGACACAGACAGACAGACAGACAGACAGACACACACACACACACACTAGAGTCATATGTTCTCACTTATGTTTTTTTGCACCTCAGCATAAGAATTTGTTCTGTGTTACAAGGGAAATAACTGAAGCTTAGCTCTTATTTATTCTTACTTCTAGTTAGGTAGTACACTAAGGACTTTACATATATGAGCTTGTTAATCTTCATAATAACCACAGTTACATAGGTGCTTTTATTCTATTGTGAATTTAACTGTGTCCCCCCAAAAGATAAGCTGAGGTCCTAATCCCTGCACAGATGAATGTGATCTTGCTTGGGCTATTTCTTTGCAAATGTTATCAGTTAAATCCAGGGAGTCATACCAGAAGAGAGTGGGTTCTAATCCCTTCTGCTAAGGGATTTAAAAGAGGCATTTTTCTAAAAGTGAAGGACAGACATGGAAACAGAGTCACACATGGGGGAAGACAGCATAAGAGAACTCCTCTACAAGTCAAGGAACTCCAAGAAACACCTGGAGCTACAAAAGCTTGAATTCAGACCTCTAGCCTCCAGAAGAATAAAAAATAATTAAGTTTCTGTTCTTTAAAGTCACCCACTTTGTGGTATTTTGTTATGGCAGCCCTAGCAAACTGAGACATACTGCACTGCAGAGATGAAGAGACCAAGGATCAAAGAAGTAAAGAAACTAGCCCAAGGTCATTCAGCTCTTGTGATTCTGACACTAATGTTCTTAAATGTATCAACATCTTTTATCATCAGTTTTCTCATCTGCAAAGTAGAAAAGAATAAAACAGAAGACCTCGCAGGAGTTGTAAAGGTAAAATCAATAGAAAACTACTTTGAAAACGGTAAGTATTGTTTGTATTAATGGACACTGTACTTAAAAGGAAATTTCATGCAAAATTTTACTAACTCCCCATTTAACAATATGCAATAATGACTTAACAAAATCTTGTGTTCTTCCAGCCAATTATCGCCTATTCCTTTGAGACAAACCTTAAGACGGACTATACATAAACCCAGCATGCTTTGGCAATTTAGAATAGCTTGACCTGAAAAGGTCCTTATACATAGTTTTCCTCATTTGTCAATTATCTTTCTCCATCTGAGGCTCTCAAGCTCTTTATTTGCTCTTACCTGGCAGTGAGAGTTTTTAAATTATGGCTTATACTTATTATGGATTTTCTGTTTTTTCTCCTCTTTTTAAGAACAGATGATAGGGGATGTTTTATAAGGGTGGAACAATACCATTCAACTAATAACATAAACCCTCAATGGCTATTTTCTCCCATCACTACATTGTTTCCATTTCAAAGACTTTGTACAGGGGCATTAAAGCTTGTATTTACCATTAAATTAATATCATTAAATTAATTATATTATTTCTTCATGTAATAGCTCTTTATCGATCTCCTTAGGAATATCTTTAGTATCTTTTAGGTCATTCACAAACTCATGTCCTATTCAACTTATGCCCCCAGAAAAATGACTTTGATTTTGTAGTAAGAAATTTATGCAGTAGAATCCTTTTTTTTTTTTTTTTTAATTTTACTTTTATTGTGGTGAAAACATATACAACAAAACATTCACCAACATAGCAACTTTAACAACTCAGGGATATTTCTCATGTTGTGCCACCATGACTACAATCCTTTCCCAAAATACTCCTCCACCATTAGCATAAACTCAATGCCCTAGAAACAAAAGCACTCCCTTTCCCTTTCCCTCCTACACATGGTAACCACTAAGTATCTTTAGTTTGTTTGTTTATTTATTTATTAGTCAATCTATCTAGGAATTTTCCAATTCCATCCCTTCCACTACCATCCCTGATAACCAACAAAGAAATACTCCTTCCATATATAAACTTTTCCTTGACTTTAAAATAGTGGACTAATACAATATTTGTCCTTCTGTGACTGATTTATTTCACTTAGCATAATGTCCTCCAAGTTCATCCATGTGGTGTTTTGCAGATTCTACATTATTCTTTATGGTTACACAGTACTCCACCGTGTGTATGAACCATACTTTGGTTATCCATTCCTCCACTGATGGGCACTTAGGTTGTTCCCATCTCTTTGCTATTGTGCATAGTGAGTGCTGTGATGAACATGGGTGTGCATATATCTATGAACATGGGTGTGCATATATTTCACTTCTTTAGGATATTTACCTAGTAATGGGATTGCTGGATCAAATGGTATTTCTGTTTCCAACTTTTTAAGGAATCACCATATCGATCTCCACTGTGGTTGTATCATTTACAGTCCCATCAGAAGTGTATGAGAGTCCCAATCTCTCCATATCCTTGCTAGCATTTGTTATTTTCTGTCTTGTTGAACTTTGATGTTAACGCTGGGGTGAGAAGGTATCTCATAGTTGTCTTGATTTGCATCTCTCTAATGGCTAATGATTGTGAATATTTCTTCATGTGTTTGTCAGGTACCTGAATACCTTCTTTGGTGAAGTGTCTGTTCATGCCTTCTGCCCGTTTTTGAATTAGATTGTTTGTCTTTTTGATGTTGAGGTGTTGCAGTTTTCTATAAATCTTAGAGATAAGCCCTTTGTCAGACATGTCATTGCCAAATATTTCTTCCCATTCTGTAGGTTCTCTTTTCACTCTTTTGGGGAAGTCTTTAGATGCCATAAGAATTTAATTTTTAGAAGGTCCCAATCATTTAGTTTATCTTTTGCTGTTTGTGCATTTTGGGTTATGCTTGATAGTAGGATAGTTTTTAAAAACATATTCAAGTACTATGTGGATTAAAAAAAAAAAATTAACCAGTTTCACACTTTGGGGAGATTTATGGATGGGGAACATGGATGGGTTTACCTTATTAAGCATTTTTTTTTTTTTTTTTACTTTTATATTAACAAATTTTAATGTTACATTATACTTTTTGAATAAAAACCAATTGGTTGAAGGAGACTAGAAGTGATAGTTAATGATCTCATTTGGGAATAATCCATAATTTAGTTCTTATAAGAGACAGACCACAATGCATATGCTACCTAGAGATAATTTAGAGTTGACTATGCTTTTTTTTTCAGGACTATCTGTCTAGCACATTTATGTGGAAGTGAGAAAATGGGACTGAGTTAATGCTGTTTCAACCCTAGAAAAATTTTCCCTTTTAATTGTGCTTTATTATTTACTTTATATACAGCTTAATTAGTTGAGTAAGGAGCTCTGGTAGAGTAGTGTTGTTGTTGTTATGTGCCATGGAGTCGGACCTGACTCCTAGTGACCCCTCCTTGGGTTTCCTAGGCAGTATCACTACGGAAGTAGATTGCCCAACCTTCCTTCCGAGGAGGTAAGGCATTTGTCTGCTAACCAGAAGGTCGGTGGTTCAAACCCACCAGTTGCTCTACAGAAGGAAAATGAGGCAATCTACTTCTTACAGATTTACAGCCTTGGGAACCTAATGAGGGTCACTGCGAGTTGGAATGGACTTGACGGCAGTAGACTTTGGTCACTTGAATATTTTTTTATTAAATTATTTTTCTCTAATAAAGTCTAGATGATCCCTTATAGTCACTGGTGTAAATTTATCATTTATTCATGATTTCATTGTAGGACCTATTTGCTCTAATCAGACCTGTCTCTTTGGGTTCTTGTTGTTAGGTGCTGTCAACTCATAGTGATCCCGTGTGACAGAGTAGAATTGCCCCATGGGATTTTCTAGCCTATAATCTTTATAGAAGTAAATTGCCAGTCTTTCTCCCACAGAGCTGTTGGTGGATTCAAACCAACAACCTTTCAGTTAGCAGCTGAGTGCTTACCTATTGTGTTACTAGGGTCTTTAGCAATGGTTTTTGATCATGGTGCTTCCTTCAATTGGAATGATCTCATACTTTCACTCCATCATTTGATATTTTCCACTTCATTCAAGACTTGGATGATATTTGACTTTTACCAAGGAATTTTTCTTAATTGATTTCTGCATACTGAGACAAATACTCTTACTATGTACTAGTTTTACAGTGGGAATGAGGGCAAAGATTTAAACCAAGGGTTGAAAGTTTTCACGTCTGCTCTGAACATATACCTTGGAATACTGTGTAAATTGCATTCCACTCTGCAGGTTCTGTAATATTAATAATATGAACAGCAAAATTTATCGAGCATATACTATGTACCAATTACAATGGTAAGTGCCAGACATGCATGATCTTGTTCAGTACTCACAACAACCATCAGGCAACCACCTCAAATTTACAAAGCTAATAAATTGGGAGCAGGGATTTGAACACCCAAGTTTGCATGCAGAGCTTGCTGGTTAACCACTGTACCTTCTCTACCTCACACTCAGACTATCTACTGCTACTTTCCTTAGCTCACTTTATTCATGTCTTTACATTGTTTGTGTAAATGGATTATTCATTCACAGAATATTGTGTTCCTTAGACTTCTAAAACCATCAACACCCTAAACCAGTTCGATACAGAGCATGGCAAATAGTACTTCCTCAATGAAATAAACACTCACACACACACACTCACACACACACATATACACATCCACACACAGGTAAAGGTTTCCTAATCTGAATAATTAAGGATTTTTTTAACCCAATTTCTTGTTATACTATCAACCATCTCATAGGAATCTAACATCTTCTTACTTCATACTATGTTGTTGTTAATGTCAGGTCCTGTCAAGTCAGTTCTAACTCATAGTGACCCCATGTTCAACAGAACAAAACACTGCCTGGTCCTGTCATCCTCACAATCATTGCCATGTCTGAGCCCATTGTTGTAGCCACCGTGTCAATCTATCTTGTTGAAGGTTTTCCTCTTTTTCATTGACTCTCTATTTTACTAAGCATGATGTCTTTCTCTAGGGACTGATCTTTCCTGACAACATGTCAACAAATACTATTGAATGAATGACTAAAACATATATAGAATAACTCAATTATTTTAAAAATTAAAAACACACTAATATCTTAGAATATAATCAAGAGACAAAGGACTTTGGCTTATCCCAGCTAAAAACTCTGATCAATATACCCATATCTTTTTACCACCATTTGCCTCTTTAATATGTCATTATCTTCTCAGTTCTCAGTTTAAAATAAAAATACTACATAAAGAGAATGGAAGGTAAGGAGAATAATAAGGAGAATAATGCTAGTAAAGTTTCTATTAATCAACACATCCCACTGAGTAAAAAGTATATAATTTATGGCAAAAGATTGGTACTAACCTACTGGTAAATATTGCCTGAAACAGAAGAAACTACTATAGAATCTACCATGAATTTCTGTGAAGTTTGATAGAGTTTGGCAGAAGCTTCAATAAGCTAGCTCTTCTTTACTTTGCAATTCTGATCTAGATGTTGTTGCTGTTGTTATGTGCCATCAAGTTGGACCTGACTCATAGCGACCCCTCCTTGGGTTTCCGAGGCAGTATCACTACGGAAGTAGATTGCCCAACTAGGAGTGGCTGGTGGGTTTGAACCCCCAGCCTTCTGGTTAGCAGTCAAGTGCCTTAGGAACTATGCTACCAGCATGGGTAACAATTTGTATTATACTTGAACACATTTAATTATCGTGTCCTTTCTGTTAGTGCTTGTTGTTGTATTTAAGTTTTGGAGATAATTTCAAGGGGGAACTGTTTTTGTAATATTTGGGCCAATGAACATTTTACAGCTCGATAAAAATCCTCTTTTTACGGATAGCTTATACAATTAATCCTTTGTTGTTTTAAAATGTCAGTAAATACACCTCTGAAAGGTGTATTTAATATGCCTCACCAATATTTCACTGAAAAGACAAGACACCTTAATCTTGATTTATAGAAGAGTTTTCATTATTTGGTTTCAACAATTCACTGATTATTATAACCTGATAAACACTGTTATAGTACTGCATCTTTTAAAATTTCAACTCTTTATTCACTGAAATTTCCAATAAAAGTCATAATCTAACAGGGACCACTGGACAATACATTCATTTTGCTCTTTTATTCATTGAAGGCAAAAAGGGATAATGCACCCTTCTTTAAACTCTATTAAGTCACATTACGTACTCCTCATGGGGAGAGAGTAATTGAAAAAAATAACAGGAAAAAGGAATTAGATGTGCATTTACCTGTATTAGACATATCTGTAGGGCTGTTGTCTGAAGAAGTAATTGGAGTCTGTTCTGTTTTCTTGTATGCAGTTTTTATCTATGAAAGAAAATGAGTAACATGAAATGTCATTTTTAAAAGTAGGTCAAAGACCAGACTAAAAGCTCATGTTAACGTAAAAAGAAGCATTAAAGAGATTAAAGCAATATTCTAAAACACTATGAAACTTCTAACATTTGGTACAGTCATCTTCAAACAAAGCAATCGTGAACTGAAGGTAAAAATTGCTTTCACCTCTACCACGTGCAAAAACAACAAAATATAAGGCAATACACATACCTTGGCTTTTAAAAGGTCTTGTGACAAATTATAAAGAGACAATAGAAAATATTATATTCAGTCTCTGACAAGCATGTACCTGAAACTAAATTTACTTTTGACAAATTATATTTCACTGACAGAAACCCTACCTGAATCTCCTATTTTATTTTATAGTTAACACAGATTTAATGAATATAATGCTCTATTTTCTAACTCTGATTTATTAGGGCACTATAGCAGTTAGTAACTAATTACTATACACATTTTGATCTAGAAATTCCCTATTTTATGCTATTCTAATAGGATGAACTATATTCTGGTGTACACCTGTGAGGAGACAATATCCACATAGACTGGATGTGTAGGGTTAGTTTCACTATGAGGTAAAGAAGCTAGGTGACAAAAAAAAAGATTGTCTGATTTTAGTCTAGTAGAAAACAGATGTGATAATAAACTGAACTATATTAGGGACAGTCTGACACTAAATAACATAGTTTTGAGTGATATCTAGGTAGAGTTTTGTGGCGCCATTGTGTCATGTTGACATTTTCTAACTGACCACGAGTCTCTTGCTACAGGATGTACTGACATGAAAAACTGTGTTTATTGACAACACAGCACAAAATATTAAACATTAAGAAACTTTCAAAGAAATACTGATTTGTTAACAAACTGCATTACCAAAATTATAATTTCTTGTGTATCTGAGAAACATAAGAACTCATAGAGGATTTATAAATTGCCTAAATGAACAGACACATTTAAGCTTACCTGATTTGTCTTAAAAGAAGGTACAATGGCTTCTTTTGTTTTCGGATTAGATGTGGTCTGTGGAATTAGAATTTCAGAGGGAGAAGGAAGAAGACCAAAGGTTGAAGTCTGAGGTCGATATTCTCCTGAAGATTGTAAAATGGATGGACATGATGGATTTTCTGGATGATTGCCATCAGATTTTTGTCTTATGAATGCTATCTCCCAAGCAGATTCTGATCTGCCATAAAAAAGAAATAACTTTATAGATATTTAAGATATACTGTAATTGAATTCTAAGGCAACATTCTAAGGCAATATTATCAGAAAAAGAATATTTCTTGTACTTAAAACATTTGTAATCACTGTTTTTAAAAAGACATGCTAAGTGACTCATTATACCTTGTGGAGAGGACTGTTACCTCACATTGGCTCTGGCAATTATGCTTTCTGCTTCTTCAAATGATACACCGATCATGGACTCCTGGTTCAGTGAGACAAGTTGATCTCCTGGCTTCAAACGGCCATCCTAACAAAAGCAGTAAAATTTAAAAAGAAACTAATGAGGAGATATATATCTATATATATATAGATATATATAGATATATATCATTAATGCAATTAAAAGCAAAGAAGTGATTAAGTGAAGAATATTAAAAAAAAAGTCTTAGACAAATTATCTCAGTAGTAAAAACTTTTGATTAAAGCCTGGTTTGATAATATACATGAGTGAAATTGAACAGTTCACGTATTCTTTGAATAAACTTGCACACTAAGCAATCCTGAGTATATGAGGACACAGCCTGGGATATTAGGAAAAGAGATCCATTCCAAAGCTTGGCACTATAATATCAAAAAAGCTCTCACTCTGTGATAAAGGATGCCATATAATTCTGGGATATCTCTGAATAAAAGACACATTCGCTTTAGTTTCTGAACATTCATCTTTCATGCCACCAAGCTGTTAAGATTTATCCCATATTTACAATAAAAAAATAATTCAGTCACAGATCTCAATTATATTAATCCTACCCAGATTTCAGCTCATGATCAAACATCTTCACTGAATCTGTTACTCTTCTTGTGACTTAAGCCTAGTTGGTTGTGACCAGAGCTTTGCCAGCTGTTGTTAATAATGACCAAGTCTAATTAGTTGTCTGCCATTGTCTTTGCTAGGTCCTGCCTCTGGCTAACTGAATAAGATCCTGGCAGTTACAAGATTTAATGTATTTGTCAGGCAAGTTTCAGCGTCTTCATTTGTCTTTTAATTCAAACTGGAAAAGAGAATCTTCTTCATTTTCAGTTCCTACGATAGTTCTCCATTTATCATTAGTACAAAGGAAGAGAGCATTATTTCTACAACTAGGAAAAACTCATATGAATAAAAAGCTAGATTTTCACCCTGATGGTATTTAAGTAATTTCCACAAATTCAAAGGACTATTTTCCATCAAAGTCTTATCTACTAAAACATATTCCTTAGATGATTGCTCTTTGATCCAAACTGCATTGTCTATAATAATGGTGATTCACAGTTATTTTCCTAATACATAACAATATGATAGTTATTATTTAAAAAAATATGTAACACACTTATAACATTTATAGGATCATGTTACCTCAAATACAATGTAAAAAATGTTATAGTCCAAATGTTAAGATTCTTTAAAATATAAACATCATAAAAAAGTAACCAAAATAGCTAATTTGATTTTAAAATACATAAAATTTAGAATGGATTTGAATTTTATATACATTTTTATAAAATGTATATAAAATTCAAATTCATTTTGAATATATATATACATATATATATATGTATGTATGTATGTATGTATATAAAATAACTATCATATACATTTTATATAAATGGGAGCTCTGGTGGCGTAGTGCCTAAGGCATTTGACTGATAACCAGAAGGCTGGCAGTTCAAACCCACCAGCCACTACTCAGAAGGAAGACTGGGCAATTTACTTCCGTAGAGATACCAAACCAAACCAAACGCACTGCTGTGGAGTCAGATCTGACTCACAGCGACCACTCCTTGGGTTTCTGAGGCAGTATCACTATGGAAGTCAAATGCTTTAGGCACCACGCTACCAGAGGTCCCTCCATAGAGATACTGTCTGAGAAACCCAAGAAGGGGTTGCTATGAGTTGGAATCAACCTGACAGCAGTGAGTTTGGTTTTGGAGTTTTTATATAAATATAAATGACTGAACATAACTAGCAAAGTCAGATAGCTACATTCACAAATGATTTTTTTTCTTCCACTTGATCAGTGGAAAATGTAGTGATGCCAGAAAAGACTAAGCAATGTGGGGAAAGTATCTATCATATGATATAGATCTTACAGATGTTTCCTACAAGTTCAGTAAAATTCAAGGGCTGATTTTATAAGATTTTGTAAACATAATTCTGTATTACCTAGGCCCAAATTTTATCACAGCATTTAATTACATACGCATTTAAATCAACTATGTCTAGATACTTAATGGATGCAAAATGCAACCATTGCCATGGAGTGGAGTCTGATCTGAGTCATGGGGACCCCTCCTTGGGTTTCCGTGTGGTATCACTATGGAAGTAGATTGTCCCACCTTCCTTCTGGGGAGTGGCTGGCAGGTTTGAACCGCCAGCCTTCTGGTTAGGAGTCAATGCCTTAGGCACTATGCTGTTTTAATATGCTAAACTTTAGTTTGAGGACCATCATTCACTCAAGGTTAAGGTGAAATGGTAACAAAAACAGAGTAATAACATGAGGATAAAAAACAAGGGAAAGACAAACACAAAATTCAGACAAATGGTTATTTCTAGGGGCAAGCACATAGGAGGCCTCAAACATATTTAAAATTTCTACCTTACAAATCAAGTGATAACATCTAAATTGATTCACAGGTATTAGTTTTATTATTATATTTCATAACATTACATAAATGCGTAGTGCCTAAGGCATCTGACTGCTAACCAGAAGGCTGGCAGTTCAAACCCACCAGCCCCTCCTCGGAAGGAAGGTTGGGCAACCTACTTCCATAGTGATACCACGTCAGAAGCCAAAGGAGGGGTAATTATGACTCAGATAAGACTCAAAGGCAGTGAGTTTGGTTTTTTTGATTGTTCTTTTGTATGTGTCAAATATTACATTATAAAAAAGAAATTATCCATCCCCTAAAATAAAAAGGAAGCTCATGCAGTTTGCCCCAGTACTGTACCTAAACTAGCTGCATTATATGCCGGTTCTGTATTCCAGAATTGGGATTGGAAGCACAGGCCAAACCGAAACATTTTTAACCTAACTTTTTAGGACAGATAAATATTTATCATTGTTAAATCCAACCCTAGACCATTTTTAATCTTAAAAGTAACTCCTTATTAAAATTGGTTTTATAAAGTAAATTTTAATTGACATTTAATGACTACACTAAAATGGACTTGTATCCAAAAGCCTGGCAACAATTTAGAGGCAAAAAAAGGAAAAATGAAGAAAACATTGCTTCAGGTGAGCAACACATTTAAAGGACACTGACAAGGAAAGACAGTTTCTTTTGGAATTAGGGTAGCAAATAGGAAATATTAGGTTAATTTGTTTTAATCTAATGTTCTTGGTATTAACAATTCCTTCCTTTTACTAAAGATTTCCCAGAAGATAGAAAATTCTATAATGAATCCATTTTACAAGGCAAATGGATTGTATTTCATTCAGGCAGGACTCACTCCCTAGTATACAGCTTATGTTCTCCAAAGCAGTGAACTGAAGTAGAAAGAGCACGGTTTGGCAGCCAGATGGACTTGAATTTGAATTTTAGCTTTACGACTCACTAGCCAGATCTTCATGAACAGCAAAAAAGAGAAAGGGAGATGAGTGGGGTTGGGAGGAGCACACAATCTTGTCCACAAGGAACTCAGAACTGAATTAATTCCATAGGCTAAATTGTTTGGAAGCAGTTTTTGTATCCATGGATGTTATAGAAATCACAGTTGGTTGTCTGAGTTGTGGAAAAAAAGGCTACAGAAAATGAGAAGGCTACAGAAATGGCATTATGGTTTAGGCTGACCTACTAATTCTCACATTTTCCTCCTGTGCTAGATTCGGAGAATTAATCACTTTTGATCTAGTATAGCCAATATAACATATCTGTATTAAAGTACATTGCTGAATTGAAGAAATGTTTTCCAGCAAGACAAGAGTCAGAGAAGAGAGAAGGAATAATGACTTCTGACTGTGGCTTCTGGTGTTTATGTATCTTTTACTTTCTAAAAAGTATTCACAGAAGTTTTTTTTTTTTTCCTTTGCCTCCTAGAATAAAATCTTAGCTGATCATGTGAATTTCTGAACCTGTTTAAAAGTTAGAACCTGCAAATGAAAACAAAGCTATTTCTGTAAAAGTCTGGCATTCTAAACCAGTGAGTTCTGCCCCAGCTGGACTAATGTATATGTGAAGATGCTAACTTCAGGGACAGGCAGAGTCTTCTTCCAACAGGTTATATTCCGATTTGGCAGTTACTGAACAACTCTTGACATGGCAGGCAGTATGCCAAGTGCTTTCACATATTGGACTTCAGAGTCTGAATTCTTGCACATTGACATTCATGAATATGTTTCAATAACAATATATTCCTGAGCACTTAAATACGTCTGTTAAAAATTACCAAAACTATCTTCTCATGGCTGTTTTCCACAGCATAGTGCCAGGTACACAATGAGTCCACAATAAATGAATGGAGTCCAGAAAACTGGCTGAGGAGACTGCAGTGGCTGTGACAGAAATGGCAACAGAGAAAAGAGAGTGAAGTTGCAGAGTCAATCTTCTTGGCTGCCACTCCTGCGGCTCCCACTGGTGGGACTGGTTTCTTTATCCTTTGTTGTCCAGAGAGGCCTGGTCCTGCTTTTTATCCAAAAGCCTTGTTCCCAGTTCCAGCGATATGCTCAGCATGTCCTGAAGATAGATTTCCTCCACAAGTCAAGTATGTCCAACTTCAATCCTTAGTGAACAATAATGACTGGCTACAAGCATCTATCAAGTACATTACATATATGTATGTTTTACATATGTGTGTGTGTGTGTGTGTATATAGTTTATCCCTTTCTTTACCAAATTAGTGTTAGGTATAATTGATTTTGATAAATATTATGTGGGACACAAATGTCCCAACTGTTTTTGGTGGTAGGATAGTGGGATAAGACATGGAAAAAATTCAATGTATCTTAACAATTTTATTTTACTGAATGAAACTTTTGAAAACATGGGGAAGACATAAAGGTACCCTGCCCTGGCTACACAGATTTGTTGTTCGATTCTACTTCACCTTAGAGCCGCATTCTCTGCGTTGTCTTCTGGGTCCCTTGACAGGTACATGGTTTCCAGCCTGTGGGAGCTGGATGTGATTTGGCACCCTGCACACTCCTGGCTTGTTCTTGACAAGAGGGACTTCCTCTTCTTTTGATTTCCCAGGCAACAGTAAGCTGCCTAATGAGAGCAATCCTGAAGGACAGTTGTGACATCTGCCCCCAATGTTATAGTTCCACATTG